ATATATATATATATATATATATATTATATTTATATATATATATATTTATATATGTATATATATTATATATATATATATATATAATATATATATATAGATAATATATATATATATATTATTATATATATTATATTAATATATATATATATATATATATATATATATATATATATATATATATATATATAATATATATATATATATATATATATATATATATAATATATATATATATATATGCAATGAAAACACATACCGTGCTGATAATATAGTTTTGTGCATTGTGGGTTTTTCTTCCATATAATATATTATATATATATATATATATATATATATATATATATATATATATATATATATATATATATATAGTACCGCACATATGCACACATATCTACATGTGTGTGTGTGTGCATTCTAGGATGGTAAAAGCGGAGTGTGTCCAAGCAAACCAAGATTACTTCCTAGTTGGAACCACCTGTGACCGTTCTGACCAGATATTCACATACGGTTGGGTCACACATACACACACACACACACACACACACACACACACACACACACACACACACACGTACACACACATGCACACACACACACGCACACACACACACACGTGCACACACACACGTGGACACACAAACACACACACACACACGTGCACACACATACATAAACCAAGATACAACAAGTATGATTCTGAATGTAGATAAACAACAAAAGTAAGTATTAATCGCCAGATAAACAGAAATACAACCGCAGATTGAGAAGCAGGCAAACAGAGAGGCAGATACAAACAAGCAAAGATTCAGACACAGCCATCTACACGGGTCAAGATGTACCGAGTGTTAGCACCTCGACGCGTTCACAGCCGTGCACACAGACACGCTCATAGCCATGATCACAGCCATGTTCACAGCCATGTTCACAGCCGTGTTCCACATGTTCATAGCATTTCACAGCCACGTTGACAGCTGTATTCACAGCCGTGTTCACAGCGGTGTTCATAGCCGTGTTCACAGCCATGTTCACAGACGCGCTCATAGCCATGTTCACAGATATGTTTACAACCGTGTTTACAGCCATGTTCACAGCAGTGTTCACAGACACGCTCATAGCTATGTTCACAGCCATGTTCGCAGCCTGTTTACAGACATGTTCGCAGCCTGTTCACAGACACGCACATACCCATGTTCACAGCCGATTTTACAATCATGTTCATAGACACACCCATAGCCATGTCGCTCCGCCTGCTCACAGCCTGTTCAGTCTCGCACAATAGCCATGCTCACGGTCGTGTTCACAGCCACACTCATAGAAATGTTCACCGACATGTTCACAGCGGTGTTCATAGCCGTGTTCACAGCCGAGTTTACAGCCATGTTCACAGTCGTGTTCATAGACACGTTCACAGCCATGTTCGCAGCCGTGTTCACAGCCATGTTCACAGTCTCGCACGTAGCCATGCTCAGTCGTGTTCACAGCCACACTCATAGAAATGTTTGCAGCCGTGTTTACAGAAACGCTCATAGCCATGTTCATAGCTGTGTCCATAGCCATGTTCACTGCCATATTCACAGCCGTGTTCATAGACACGTTCACAGCCATGTTCGCTTTCGCCCTTCATCATAGACACCCTCATAGCCATGTTCACAGCTGTGTTCACAGCCATATTCACAGCCGTGTTCATAGACACCCTCAGAGCCATGTTCACAGCTGTGTTCACTGTCATGTTCATAGTCACGCTCATAGTCATGTTCACAGCTGTGTTCACGAGTCCATGTTCATAGTCCACGACTTCTCTCAGTAGCTCATGAGCCTTTACAGCTGTGTTCACAGTCATGTCATGTCATGTTCACAGTCCAACGCTCATAGCCATCTTCACAGCTCGTGTTCACAGCATGTTCATATCACGCTCATAGCCATCCTTCACAGCTGTGTTCACAGTCATGTTCATAGACACCCTCAGCAGCATGTTCACAGCTGTGTTATCAGCCCATGTTATAGTCACGCTCATAGCCATCTTCACCCACGCTGTGTTCACAGTCATGTTCACTAGACACCCTCAGAGCCATGTTCACAGCTGTGTTCACAGCCATGTTCATCCATCATCGGTCACTTGCTCATAGCCATTCTTCACAGTTGTGTTCAAGTCCATGTTCATAGACACCCTCAGAGCCATTTTCACAGCCTGTGTTCACAGCCCATGTTCATAGTCACGCTCATAGCCCATCTTCACAGCTGTGTTCACAGTCATGTTCATAACACCTAGAGCCATGTTCATGTTTCACAGCCATCATAGTCACGCTCATAGCCATGTTCACAGCTGTGTTCACAGCCATGTTCATAGTCACGCTCATAGCCATCTTCACAGCTGTGTTCACAGTCATGTTCATAGACACCCTCAGAGCCATGTTCACAGCTGTGTTCACAGCCATGTTCATAGTCACGCTCATAGCCATCTTCACAGCTGTGTTCACAGTCATGTTCATAGACACCCTCAGAGCCAAGCTGTGTTCACAGCCATGTTCAAGTCACGCTCATAGCCATCTTCACAGCTGTGTTCATCATGTTCATAGTCACGCTCATAGCCATCTTCACAGCTGTGTTTCACATCAGTCATGTTCATAGACACCCTCAGAGCCATGTTCACAGCTGTGTTCACAGCCATGTTCATAGTCACGCTCATAGCCATCTTCACAGCTGTGTTCACAGTTCACAGTGTCATGTTCAGCCATGTTCATAGTCACGCTCATAGCCATCTTCACAGCTGTGTTCACAGTCATGTTCATAGACACCCTCAGAGCCATGTTCACAGCTGTGTTCACAGCCATGTTCATAGTTCACGTCATAGCCATCTTCACAGCTGTGTTCACAGTCATGTTCATAGACACCCTCAGAGCCATTTTCACAGCTGTGTTCACAGCCATGTTCATAGTCACGCTCATAGCCATCTTCACAGCTGTGTTCACAGTCATGTTCATAGACACCCTCAGAGCCATGTTCACAGCTGTGTTCAGCCATCACACGCTCATGCCATCACAGCTGTGTTCATATGTTCATAGTCACGCTCATAGCCATCTTCACAGCTGTGTTCACAGTCATGTTCATAGACACCCTCAGAGCCATGTTCACAGCTGTGTTCACAGCCATGTTCATAGTCACGCTCATAGCCATCTTCACAGCTGTGTTCACAGTCATGTTCATAGACACCCTCAGAGCCATGTTCACATGTTTGGCCGGGTCATCAGCCATGTTCACACCACAGCAGTGTTCACAGTCATGTTCATAGCCATGCTCGCGGCCGACGAGAACAGACGCGGAGCGGTCGACCGGAATGCCTGCTGCCGCCTCCTCCAAAGGGCGAGATGCTCGACGAGGCAGCGAGGGAGAGGCGCGCGGGCCCGTTCCCTGCCGCTGTGGGATTGCCTCGGACCGTTTGGATGCACGGGGTAGGTAAGGTAGGTTGCGGTAGGTAGATGGATAGGTAGTAGGTAGGTAGGGAGATAAGAAGATAGATAGATAGATAACATACAGATAGATAGACAGATAGATAAATAGAAAGATAGATAGACATACAGATAGGCAGACACATTGACGGGCAGACAGATGAATAGTTAGAGAAATCGAAAAAAAAAAAATCAACACACAAATACAAAGGCAGATAAACGTAGATGGATAACAAATAGTTGGAAATAGACCAACACTATATATAAAAAACCACAAAAAAATATCAGATCTCCTTCTACTGTCATAAGAGAACAAAATCAAAATAAAAGAAAAAAATGTTCATCATTAAATTTCCCTAAATGACGAGATAACACCAACCTACCAAAATAATTAAAAAAAAAAAAAAAAAATAGCACTACCCCAGTACGATAGCGGAGATAAGGACGAATAGACTCACTTAATTAGAAATCGGCCCTTAATCAAAGCAAAGCCGAGTGATATGCAGCGGAGGGGATGCTGCAAATCGCTCGGAGATAATGGCCGTGCTGATGCCATGCAGTTGATAAGATCATCTTTGAGAGTGTGATAAATGCCACAGCGGGCGGCGCTTGGATGCCTGCTTATCCCGCAGCATCCAGGGCCTAACTACCAAGTTGATTATAGATTATAGATACGCTGGATGCTTTGTCTATCTCGCGGACTTTATTCCTATTTGGTTTATAAAGGCGGTGGAGGTCAGACGCTGAGGCTGAGGGACCAGGGAATCACTGGCTTGGATAACATGACTGAGAGAGTGAGGAAAACGGAGAGAAAGAGAGAGAGAGAGAGAGAGAGAGAGAGAGAGAGAGAGAGAGAGAGAGAGAGAGAGAGAGAGAGAGAGAGAGAGAGAGAGAGAGAGAGAGAGAGAGAGAAGAGAGAGAGAGAGAGAGAGAGAGAGAGAGAGAGAGAGAGAGAGAGAGAGAGAGAGAGAGAGAGAGAGAGAGAGAGAGAGAGAGAGAGAGAACAGACAGAGACAGAGAGAGAGAGAGAGAAGAGAGAGAGAGAGAGAGAGAGAGAGAGAGAGAGAGAGAGAGAGAGAGAGAGAGAGAGAGAGAGAGAGAGAGAGAGAGAAGAGGAGAGAGAGAGAGAGAGAAGAGAGAGGAGAGAGAGAGAGAGAGAGAGAGAGAGAGAGAGAGAGAGAGAGAGAGAGAGAGAGAGAGAGAGAGAGAGAGAGAGAGAGAGAGAGAGAGAGAGAGAGAGAGAGAGAGAGAGAGAGAGAGAGAGAGAGAGAGAGAGAGAGAGAGAGAGAGAGAGAGAGAGAGAGAGAGAGAAGAGAGGAAGAGAGAGAAGAGAGAGAGAGAGAGAGAGAGAGAGAGAGAGAGAGAGAGAGAGAGAGAGAGAGAGAGAGAGAGAGAGAGAGAGAGAGAGAGAGAGAGAGAGAGAGAGAGAGAAGATCAGGTCTAGTGATAAAAAAAATAAATGAATGAATAATAAATAAAAAAAGAAAGAAAGAAAGAAAGAAAAAAACCCGACTTCTAACGACCAACATCTGTTGACATTCTATTTCCATAATACACAAAACAATCGAAACCACATTTCCCAGCAATACCTAGCATCAAATCAAAATCGAAAATATACTAGATAAAGAAGAAAAAAAAAAGAAACAAAACGAACAACACAAACAAAACACTTCCGACATCTGTGGCACAGTGTCTGCTCTTTTCTCTCTCTCTCTTTCCATTAGTTATGCCACGCAGCCAAACGCATTTCTCGCTAATTAGAGGCTAAAGCGAGAAGAGAAGAGAGAGAGATAGAGAGAGAGAGAGAGAGTGTGTGATAGATAGATAGAGAGAGAGAGAATGAAAAAGAGAGAGGGAGGGAGAGAGAGAGAGAGAGAGAGAGAGAGAGAGAGAGAGAGAGAGGAGAGAGAGAGAGAGAGAGAGAGAGAGAAGAGAGAGAGAGAGAGAGAGAGAGAGAGAGAGAGAGAGAGAGAGAAGAGAGAGAGAGAGAGAGAGAGAGAGAGAGAGAGAGAGAGAGAGAGAGAGAGAGAGAGAGAGAGAGAGAGAGAGAGAGAGAGAGAGAGAGAGAGAGAGAGAGAGAGAGAGAGAGAGAGAGAGAGAGAGAGAGAAGAGAGAAAGAGAGAGAAAGAAAGAAAGTAGAGAGAGAGAGAGAGAAAAAAAAAAACGAAATACTACATATTCATACACACCCAGACGTGAAGGACACATAAATATGTAATGCGGCGAGCTGAGCTGCAGATATAAGCCAGAGGACATAGCGTGCGTGCAAATCTGCAGCCAGCACCGCGCCCTTCTTGACCCCCGGCCGGCCGTCCCCGCTTCTCGATAGCCTGGCAATGGAATACAAATGAGACACAACTGAGGGAATTCTCTCGTTTTTATTGTGTTCTTGCCTCTTCCTTCTTTCTTACTTGCTCTTATGCTTTGATCTAAGTCTTTTTTTTCTTAGGTCAGGTCACTGTGGTATCTCTTTCATGGGATTGTGTAAGTCATGGCAAGTTAGGTCAGACGAACTCCCTTTGCTCTTGGTGTTCCTGTGGAGACACACATCATTAAGCAGGTTGACCTCTCTGGTTGCCCTTCTTGCTTTGCTTGCTTGCTTGCTTGTTTGCTTCGCGCTCTTTTATGTCTTCTTCCCGTGTTTGGCTGTCTCTTTTTTTGAGTAATTGTGAATTCATTTTTTTTCTTTTTTGTCTCCCTCCTGTTCTCTGTGTCTTTCTATCTCTTCCGTGTATCTATTTATCTGTTCAGCTCTTCATCTCTTCCTAATTCTCACTCGCCCCCTCTCTCTCTGTCTCCCCCCTTCCCTCTCTTCCTCCCTCGCCCTTTCCCCCTCCCCCAGCTTTACCCCCTCCCCCAGCTTTACTCCCCCCCCCCAGCTTTACATCTCCGCGCTGGCCCGCCGTCGTAACTCACCGCAGCTCTTGGGACTGTAATTATATCACTGGCGCTATCTATTGCGGTGCGGAGCAACAGCGTCCGGCGCCTTCCTATAGGTGAGCGGGCGCAGATAAATCGCGGGTGTTGGAGTGCCGTTAACCTGCGGGTCGTAAAAAGAGTTTCCAGTTCCCTTCGAAAGCGTCGATTGCTTGCTTTTGGAGCGCGGCGGGTCGTTCGGGGCCGGGCTCGCTGCTTGGGAGTCGTTCCGAGGGCGAGAGAGAGGGAAGGGAAAACAAAAGAGGGGAAACGTGGCGGAATTTGATCGTGTTTTGTTGTTTCTATTCTTCTCGTACATTTTAACGACTTGTTGATTATAACCGAGAGGATGTTTGTCGAATTCACTAAAAGGCTGATTTGCATAATGCTCTCCCGGCTAGCAGTATCACAGGATTTCCAAATAAAATAGACCAGACAAAATCGACAGAAAATACATGCCCTGCAACACAATATATGCCAGCTACCATCATTTCCAAAACGCCCCGAGGCATATCCTTTCATTTTACAGAATTTATTTAACTCCACATGCCAGCCCGTCCAGGCAGGCCTCATCAATAACAATTAACCTTCCCGAAAGCAGCCTTCCCTCCATCAGCAGCCACCACGCCCTCCTCCCCAGCCCTGACCTGTACGTGTGTCTATGACTCGGGCCATAACGCTTTCCTTTAACACGCCTTGGTTCTACGTTGTATACTTTCACTTCCTCTTCCGCGACCTCTGCTTGTAGGGTTTTGTTTACTTTATGTCTGTGTTAAGGCCGTGTTCGATATCTGTTGGTTATTTTTGCATTCGACCTTGAGAGATGAACAGTAGTGGTTGTAGGGTAAGCAATACTTAGTATTTATCTAGTTTTTTATTTTCAGACTTTTAGGTTTCTCACGATTTTCACACAAGTTTATCATCATCATGAACTATTCATTCTTTCCTTCTCGTCATCACTTCTTTCCACTCTCCCCCACCTCCTCCACCAAAATCTCCCATCTCCCCCAAACCCCTATCATCCTAACCCCCCCCCAAAAAAAAAAAAAAAAATCTAAAAGCAAAATCCCATTCTCTCTCTCTCTCTCTCTCTCTCGCAGTCGCCTTTAAACGGAGCTCTTAATATGCTGCGTTGACGTGCCCTGATACCGAGAATCTGCCTCGCTCCATCCCGGTTCGCAGCTGCCGTCTCCTGGGGTCTCCATAAGGACACAGCACGCAAGTCTAACGGCAGGACATTCTTAGCTCTCGGGGCTCCTGTCGCTCCGTTATCTGTTTTGAGGTCCAAGTCCAAGAAGGAAGGCTTCTCGTTTTTCTTTTTTATTTCTTTCATTCATTTATGAATGAAAGAAATAATTGGTTGATTCACTCATTTGTTCATACATTTTTTTCTTTCTTTATATTTATCTTTACCCTTTTATTTATTTCTTTCGGTCTTTCTTTTTCCCTTCCTTCTTTCTTCCTTCCTTACTTTTATCATTTCTTTCTCTTTTTTCCTTCTTCTTCTTTCTTCCTTTCCTTATTTCTACCATTTCTTCTTTCTTTTTTATTTTTTCGTTCTTTTTTCCCATTTTCTTCTTTATTTTTTTCCTTCTGTTTAGTTTTCTTTTTTTTCTTTATCTTTCTTTCCTTTTCTTTTTTCTTCCTTTCTTCCTTTCT